GGTTTTTTTCTAGAGATATAACTAATCGGGTGGTAGGCTGACATGTATAGCAATGTATCTTACATCTTAATATTAATTATGTAACAATCCATTTTACTATATTAATAAAGATCGTGAGAAATGCCTCACTTAACATTAAAAAAAAAAAATAATAAATCAAATTATTATTATAACAAAATATAAAATACTTCTTATTTTTTATAAACTTGAAACAATACTTATTAATCAAAATTATTATACTATCCATAATAACATTATTAATTATATATGGTTTACATAATACTATTATCAGACTAAATTACATATATACAGTATATTTAGAAATCATATATATTGTTAGCAGTAGGATCGGGTATAGGGACGGGATCAGTGCGGGTCACGTAACGCAGCGTGATGCATCAGTTTATGCATCAATGTGGGGAGGAAAGTTTAGAAAGTCTGTTGGAAATTTGCATGACGCAACGATAGATTAGTGAACGTGTCGCAGCTAATATAAATAGAATTAGGATTAAAGTAGTAATAGGAAGAGAGTCAATTGCCTTGTAATAAACCTGTAACTTGCAGAACGATAATTAATAAACTTACCTTAATAAAATACTTGTCTCCTAAAGGATTCTGTGATAGCCAATATCGAGTCTATTGGTGAAGGATTGTGCCAGAGGAACAAGTGAAAAGAAGGAAAGTTAGAGAATTATCGCATCAACAAGTACTTTTGGTATTGTAAGCGAGACGACCCCTAACTAAAGTCAATGGCAAGCCTAGTTCTGAAGTGGTGACAGACTTGCCAGTATTGATAACAATTGGTGGAGGACCCAAGTAGATTATACAAGCAACAAAGTTGAACCCCCTGATATTTTTGTGCGAATGCCAAAAATAGAAATTTTTAATTAATCATTATTTGCCAAAACAAGATGATAACCTTTTTGGAATCGTCTAGGAAGACCATCTGCGACACGTGACATCCCAATTAATAATTAACAGCGTCATGATCGAAATCATATATGACACAACGGATGATGAAGCTGGTTTCCCCCCTTCTCACGACAAGATGCCCCAAGAAGACCGGTGGATATATGTGCAAGACGAAAATGGGAAGCCAAGTCAAAAGAAAAGAGGATGCAAAAGACAAGAATCTGGAAGTTCGAAAGTGGAGTAGAAGACCCACGTTCATGGATAAGGCTCTACAACGAAGCCATTGAATGAAACAGATGGACAAATGACGAGAAGCGGGAAGGGATAGGTGAATATTTAAAAGGGAATGCACTAGAATGATATGAGGAAAACTGGAGCCGTTTTACCTGTTGGAACGACAAATATGATCGCAAAAGAAGTTTCATGCCAACATTTGTGCAGCACTTCGTGATGCTTGAGCAACAGCGCCAATGGCAAAAAGAATTAGAAGATATAAAGCAAGAAGAGGGTGAAAAGGTGATAGAATATGCCCGTAGGTTTGTGAGGCTACTCGAGGTGTATCCCAAGGGCGACTACCATAAGAAACTAAAGGCATGGCTGCTTGCAACTGGATTACGGAAGGACATATTGTTTCTACCCGCTGTTGCAAACGCGACCGACCCAGGGGAGGCAATCAGAGTGGCAATAGATGCTGAAGCCGACACAGAGAAGAAGGCAACCAAGGCAGCAAGAAGAATTGAGAAAGAGAGAGCAATGAAGGCCGAAGCTGACACCAAGACCAAAGAGAGAGTTAGAAGATCGCGTTCGAGAATTAAAAAAGCAAATGCAGGAAATGAATAAAGTACAGTATATTACCAATATGCCACCTCCACTGCAAAGAAACCGAAAGTGGTGTTGACCGAAAGAGAAAATCTGAGTTATCGTAAGTATGAGAAGATATATGATACGATGTCTGCACCTGAAAAGGAGATGAACATCGTTAGTAGCAGTGGGAAGGAAACCGCTAAGGGGTACTCAGCAAAGATCCCGATCTCGAATGATGAAACTAAGGTACCCGCTGACAAGATCGCTAATAAGGGATCCAATGGGAACACTTGGCGGAACGAAAGGTCGAATAATAAAGAAAAGAATGGTGAAGATGAGAAAATATGGTTGATATCTTTCGAAGATGATGAAGGGGAAATGGCACAAGAAATGAGTAACAATCCCAACTTCGATGATAACACATGACCGGAAACTCCAGGCCCTGCAGCGCATTCCTTCCAAATGGAAGAAACGTTGGTGGTGACCGAAGAGAGTTTCGACAAGATCAACGAAACTGAGGAGAAAGGTGAAGGTGAATCGGAAGGACAACAGGAATTGGTAAAAGCGGTCTCAAAAGAACAAAACAGTACAGTAACAAAGGAACAGCCCATACCCTACAATACGAGACCAGAAACGATGGACAGGAAGAATGACAATCTCACCATGAGAATTTGTAATAAACCTGACACTAAATCATATTCTGACAATTCAGATCCTGTTGAATTCCTAGCATGACAGGGAGAACTGTTAACACTGCCAGATGATCAAGCTGAACATATGGAAGAAGCGTTGGTAAAAGAACGAGCTGCCATACTAGTAAAAGCATCATCAGGATCATATGATGGAAATCGGATCAAGATAAAAGAAATGATAATTACCTGGGGAACACACGCACCGGGCGATGAGACATTCAGGCTGCGCACCATCCTAGCATCGTGGAGACGTCTAATGGATATACTTTGTTGAGAGCTTAAAAAGAAGCTAGTGACAACATGTGCCGAAACTTTTGCGAAATTGGCGCTCCACATTATGATGACAATTAGGCGGATGGTTTGAATAAACAATCCAGTAAAAGAACTCCTGGTCGAGCATACAGATGCACCAAGAGGACTATCTGGAGATCTGAGTGTGTCAAGAAAGCGTGATGCACCATCAACATCAACCTGGATGCCACAATTGATCCTGAAACCATAAACAGCACAAAAACGTTGAGAGACAGAAGACTGATAATGACAAGAGCAAAACATTTAGGTGCATGGAAGGATACAACAATTATATGTTGCAACCCACCCATGATGCACCCACAACTGATATCTCTATGCTGGCGGAAGATCAAGGAAAAAGTTATGATATGTTACCTGAGTACCACCGCCACGAAATCTAGATGGAAAGACATTACATTAACTGGAGGCATAGATCTAATAGTCTACTATGTCATCAGGATGGGACAAATACGAAGAAGTATATGGTGAGCAAACCAACAGGTAGAAGTACTTCGGGGTCCCAAAAAGTCATGTGACTCGAAGCAAGGGATCAGAAAAGACAACCAAAGATGAAACTGCAGAACCACGACAATTAGTATTAGGTGTAAGTTAGCACGGATGGAAACAATGGATGACGATACTTACCATAAGGAATTTGACATTGGAGACCTAATTGCCGCAGAATATCAAGATATGACAAGCGATGATGATGACAGACATGATAATCAAGCCATCGCCAGATTACCACAGCTTACACCTCATCTGACTATTGTTTGGAGGACCCATTATTCCTTAGAAACCATGTACCGGAGGGTTGGGTTTAGAGTTTGTTCACAGAGTATACAAGATAGGCGTGAGGAGTATTAGCAGTAGGATCGGGTATAGGGACGGGATCGGCTCAGGTCACGTGATGCAGTGTGATGCATCAGTTCATGCATTAATGTGAGGAGGAAAGTTTAGGAAGTCTATTGGAGATTTGCATGACACGATGATAGATTGATGGATGCGTCGCAGCTAATATAAATAGAAGTAGGATTAGAGTAGTAATAGAAAGAGAGTTAATTGCCTTGTAATAAACCTGTAACTTGCAGAACAATAATTAATAAACTTATTATAATAAAATACTTGTCCCCTCAAGGATCTTGTGATAGCTAATATCGAGTCTATTGGTGAAGGATTGTGCCAGAGGAACAAGTGGAAAAAAGGAAAGTCAGAGAATTATCACATCAACAAGTACCTTTGGTATTGCAAGCGAGACGACCCCAAACTAAAGTCAACGACAAGTCTAGTTCCGAAGTGGTGACAGACTTGCCGGCGTTGATAACTTCATATATCCAGAAATTACATATTAATTTTATTATTATAACAACAACCAATTATATACTTTATAAAATTTTTTTTACAAATGATAATTTTATTTATTTTTTATTTTTTATAATAAATAATTTCTCAATTTTTTTTTGTTTCAAGATTTTTCAAATGATATATCTATTAAATAAGTGATAAACTAATATCTATAACTTATTTTAATATTAATTATATAACAAGTTAAACTTTTATTTTAATAATAATAATAATAAATAATGTTAAGCTTTAATATTAAAAAAAAAAAAAACTATTTTTATTTATGATAAAGTTAATAAAAATTATTGGTTTGTTTGTTAACTTTTATTAAAAAAATTAAAATAAGTTTTTTATTATATTTAATAAAAACATTTCAATATATATATATATTTTGTAAGTACAGTAAATATTATTATTATTTTTTTTTTTTAAAAAAAAAAACTCTTTCCCGTAAATCATTTTTTACCTGAAAATTTCCTTATTTGGTAATAGTCTTTCCAAGAAACT